TATACAGGTGATTATCAGCATGAGGCTGAGGATGTTGGTGGTGAAGCTTAGGCTTCTTTATGGGCTATGCTCTGATAGGACATGTGACATCGGGGTATAGATAAGATTAGATTAGGTTGTTAATGTTATTTTAAATTACTTTGAAAACTTTGAGATTTATTTCTTTGTAATTTCCGCTGATTATGTTTGTTAAAAATGTGATACTCTTTAAACATGTTTGATTATTAAAGTTATATTATTTAAATTTATTGATTTATGATATGCGGGGTAGAGGGTGTCACATTTAGTGGTATCAGAGCAGGTTGATCCAATCGGCCGTGAGTTATGAGTCTACTATGCTTGTTTGGTAGATTAATAATGTGATGAGATGATTGATGTGCTAATGTGATGATTAATTATGTTCTTATTTATTTATTTGTATGTATTGTATTCTCAGGATTTGTCTGATAGACATGATATAAATTGATGATGCTATTTTTGATTGATCTTTTCATAATTGCTTATTTGTTTGATACTTTTTGCTTACGTAAGTAGTAGTGATTGAGTAGTATCACTCGTATGGTGAGCTTATGTACCAATAGTACGGACAAAGCCTTGATAATCAACTAGAAATTATTGAGACCCTAGATTTGGATGATTTTTCATTATATATATATGTAGGTTTTGGGTATATCAAAAAACAACAAACATTTAAAAAAAATGCCAGAATTTACGTCGGACTACACCATAGTCGACGTAAATTTACGTCAGACCTAACACTGGCGTACCTATATTTACGTTAGACATGGTGTAGTCCGACGTAAATTCTTGCGTCTTTTTCCCTTTTAAAGCCCCTTTTTACGTTAGGCAGAGGAAATCTCAAACGTAAATTTATGTCATCTGTGACAGGCGACATAATATTAATGTCGGGGCCTTTTCAGACATAAAAGACTTAAAATATCTGACGTTAAAGACCCTTATGTACTAGTGGTACATGCTTGAGAATCTTAAATTGCATGTCACAATTTTCTTCTGTGGTATGTTCAATAAATTTTTGTTGTGATTTTTCAGTCTCTTTTTCTTTTATTGAAAACTAACACGAATCAGCATTTTCTTGTCAGGTATGTGGCAACGGAGTTGGCAACTGACATAGCCATTAATGTTGGAAATGTAAAATTTTATATGCACAAGGTAAGATTCAATCAGAGTTGAGGTGATGTAGTAATCTGATATATAGCTCACATGCATATGAACCACAAATTTATGTTAATTAGGGCATCTCTTGATCCCTTTATTAGTAAAAAAAAGTTTGTAATTCAATTATGCCATTATGGATAATGATCTTCATATGTCCCGTCAATACTTAGGGGAGTGTGGGGTCCAATGTTGTTTTAAATTGGTCTAATGGGTTCTTTCCTCTTAAACATCATGGACATATTTATTCTTAAATATATAACGAAGACTAGTTTAGGTAGGGTATGTATTGAACAGTTTGCCAAAAACTCTTAAATCATATTTTCATAACCACCCTATGTGCACCTGAATGGAGAGATTGATAAGATGTGAATTAAGAAGTTATTTCCATATGGGGAAAGTGCCCAGTGGAATAAATTTATTCTTTGGAGAAAACCTTTGTATAATGCCTGAAATAGAATGCTCAATCCATACAAAAATTGGGGAATAAGAAAGAGAAGGTTATAAATTATATAAATGATACGATAAAGAACTCCTAGAAGTAAATTTACTTGGCTCCTTACATTGATCAATAAGTACATGTTTCTTATTGCATTTAATTTATGTAATTTATATATATTGTTTAATTAATTTTGGCTTAATGTAGAAATCATTGGCAGTTGTTGGTTCTTTATCTTATGAGTAATGTTGTTGTATAGTTTTGTTCTTTGCATCATAAGCCCACTATACATGTCAAACATTTAGTTAAAAGGTAAACTTTAATTTGTAATACGTTTTTTACTTTTATGCTCTTTATTATAAAATTTTAATCATGTAACTCACGTTCATTTTATTTTCTTTAGTGTTATGGTTGTGTATAATGTGGTATATCTACTCACTGTCAAAGAACTTAGAATGGATTTACCCCATGGTAACTAAGTGGTTCGTAATTAAAGTCAATGTACCTAACAAATTCTTTTATTACCTTAATTAAACAAAACTATTTATACTACTTTATTTGGTGTTTGTTTTAGAGTTATAAACAACAAGGACATTATGAATGTGGATACTATGTCATGAATTGGATGTCAGAAATAATTGAAGGGGGAGTAACAAATGGTTGGAGTGAGGTACACTTAAAAATATTGTTAATTTCTTTTAATGCTTTTTATGATGTAACTAATATATGATGTATATATGTTGGAGCTTTTTGAAGATGCTACACCATTGGGGGAAACCAAATTGGAAGACATTCGGATTCATTGGGGAATTTGTTTTTAGAAAAATTTAGAAATAGATCATGTTGAAAGGTCTAGTATTACATGTAAAATTTAGAAATAAGTGAATGTGGTTTCAGTATTAGGCTGCCCAGTGCGTGTCTAATGCAGTGTGACCTAATTTTTTTGAGCTTCTATTCTCCTTGTAAGAGAAAAACTCTTCTTTATGGATACTAGATTAGCTTCTCTTGGTTTCCAAGTATATTTTTTCTTTAGTATTATATATATTATATAATGATGTAATTGAGCCATTTATAATGATAACGATCCCAAATTGGTCTCTATTGATTTCTCTTACATTGGATAATTGAATTAGTTTTTGCAGGTTATTTATAATTGAATCAGTTTTATTTTAAAAATTAATCTGATTAAAAAAATACAATCTAATGTGGTTCTATCTAGGTGATTGTTGATAGGTTGACAGAGTGTGCGCACTTTCTTCCTGTCAAGAGGTGGTCCTTGGAGAGACTTGCACAGTTATATATCAGAGAGATAGTACGGTTGCATGGAGTTCCTTCTAGTATTATCTCTAATAGAGATCCAAGGTTTACTTTCAGGTTTTGGTAGACTTTGCATTATGTTTTGGGGACGAGGTTGAGGTTGAGCTCCGTTTATCATCCACAGACAGATGGTTAGTCAGAGAGGACAATTCAGTCATTGGAGGATCTCTTGAGAGTTTGTGTGTTGGATCATCTGGGTAGTTGGGAGGAGGTGTCGCCATTGGTAGAGTTTACCTACAATAACAATTATCACTTGAGTATTGGCATGACGCCTTTTGAGGCTTTGTATGGCGGAGGTGTAGGACTCCATTATGTTGGTATCATGAAGGTGAGTCAGTAGTGGTTGGTCTAGAGTTAGTTCTTTAGACTACTGAGATGGTGAGATAAATTCAGGAAAGGTTGAGGGCTACCCAGAGTCGACAAAAGTCCTAGCCGATAGGAGGAGGAGACCTCTAGAGTTTGAAGAGGGAGAGCATGTGTTTCACGTTTCACAGTTGGGGAACTACATTAGAGACCCGAGTCAAGTGGTAGAGATGGATGAGGTGCAAGTTAGAGAAAACTTGACCTATGAGAAGAGACTAGTAGCTGTGGTTAATCACAAGTTGAAGAAGCTTCGAGGCAAATCCATCAGCTTGGTGAGGATTGTTTGGGATGCAGCTACTGGTGAGGTTACCTAGGAGGTGGAGAGTCAGTTCAAGGAACAGTATCCATTCCTCTTTTCAGGTAGACCTATTTTCGGGGACGAAAATTCCTGTTTGTTGGGGAGTATTGTAACGTAGTTAAAAAAAATTAGTAGCCAGAACGGACCATTCCCAAATTGGAACGGACCGTTCTAGAAGGAGAACAGGCCGTTTCGGATGGAGAACAGGCCGTTCCAGAGGGAGAACGGGCCGTTCCGGATGAGTCCCAGAACGGGCCGTTCCGAATGGAAATTTTGAACATGATTGAGGGGGTGCAAAACTGGCCGTTCCGGTATCGGTACAGGCCGTTCTGGCCACTCCGGAAAGTCTATAAATAGGGGTTGGGGGCCTTCAGGAGAACGTGAGTTTTTAGAGAGAAGTTTTAGAGAGAAGGTCTCTGGGTCTGTGAGCTCCTTTCTCTCCCAAATTTCTTTATATGAATCCTTTTCTCCTCTAGACCACTAATGCCTTCTGTCATTTCTTGAAATTCAGATTAGAAAGCTTGCTTTGGAAGGATTGAAGTTCCGGGTTGAGCTTTGGAAGGAAATTCTATTTTGTCACAGTTGTTGGCTATTCTGAGCCAATCTTCAGGTGAGGGAAGCTAGAGTGTAGATTGATTTAGTTGTTGGGTGTGGATTGAATAGTTGCTGGCTTAAGTTGTTAATATGTTGTGTGTTGATAATATGTTATACGTTGAAAAAACTAAGTTGTTTCTATGTTGTTTATATAAGTTAACATTATAGATAAATTTTAAATATGTATATTTTTGAAGTTGTTTATAAAGTTGTTAAGTGTATTAAGTTGATATTGTAATGATTATAGTTGTTTAATAAAGTTGTTTGAATGTTGTAAGTCGTCTATTGTTGTTAAGATGTCTATTGCAGATAAACTATGTTGTTCATGTTGAATGTTGATTTAGATGATGAGTTGAAAAGTTGTATCTTGTTTAAGTTGTTAAGTTGATTAAGTTGTAATGATGAGTTGTTGATCACTAAGACTAGGGGAGATGTTTTCAAAGTTGCTCATCCCATTGTGTGGATTGAGATAGTTGTGGTGCTCTAAGAGCCCAATTTGTTGGAAAACCCTCCTTAAGAAGTTGTCCCTTGGAGTGGATGTTGTATTGTTCTCCTCTAGGACTCAGTTGATCCCGTGTGTGGGCAAGGTCGAGGCACACGTGTACAAAGCGACCACGATATAGGGGCTAGGCCGATCTATACCGATTACAAGCGGCCAGATGTTGAGATACATAGTACTAAGGTGATAAGTTAAAAGTTATTTTAAAGTTGAAAGTTGTTTTAAAGTTGAATTCCTTAGTACTGTGTGGACGACATGGAAATAGTCGATCCATGTCATGGTTGAATGACCAATTTGAGTAAGGTATCTAGTTAGGGATGTAGTCTTTGACTAGGTACTGGAGGGTGTGTGGTACTTGGAGGACAGTGGGTGGGCTAACTCCACATGAGGATTGGCGAAGTTAGCCAAGGTTGTGGTAGGCTCATACCCAAACCCTTCTGTCTTGACAGTAGTACTGGACCTCTGAGTCTAAGTGGCACACCTGAGAAATCAACTATTGTTGTCTATACCTGGTTCTCTTCGGAGTTCCTAAAGCTGTTCTATACCTGACCTGGTTGAGATAGGTCAAATGCTGGATTCAATAGGGTTTATGCCACCTAGACTACTCAACTTCAGTTGTTGGAGATCTCCCAGTTGTATATGCGTGACGACGTATTAAATATTAAGTTGTATATTGTTGTTGTTGTTGTTGTATTAAAGTTGCTTCTAAGTTGTATTAATGAGTTGGATTTTTATGTTGAATTGTATGGTCATTTGTGACGATGATTGTTATGCATTTATTGCATGATTATTAATATGATGAAGTGTGGTGTTTGACTTCATGATTAGTTGGATGATGTGTTGTATAGATTTTATTCTGTACTTGTATGATTGATTTTGAACTCTAGCTTACCCTTCTGTTTCCATGTGGTGGAACTGCGATGATCATACTTGGTATGGGAGCAGGTCAGGGCTAGCTTGGAGTTGAGGTGATCGCTGCGCGCCGGGGAGTTTTGCTCCCCGTGTTAGAGTTCCCCCCTTGGGTAGCAGTTTTGTGGTTGACCGGCACTAGGAGATAGTAGTTTGGATAACTGTATAAATACCTAATACTTAAAAACTTAATGATTCTTTAGGTAACCGATGTAGATATGTTCATTAAAATCGATGTAGATATGACAAAATAACTTACTTAGAATACAATCCTTCTAGTAGTGTGACCTTCTGGGAAGTTTCCTAGAAACTGTGTAAGTAAGGACAAAACATGCTAAAAAGTAAAGTATTGTGAAATAGAATCATTGATAAGAATAGCGACAAAATTTGAGATGTTTATAAAATTTAATAAAATTAAAAATAAATATTTAGTGACTGATCTAGAGGCAGTTAGTGCGTTGGGTGCTGTAAGGGTCACAATTCTAATTTTGCGACAATTTGTGCAACGGTTCTAGTAACCGTCGCAAAATTCACTCATGACGGACATTTCTGTGACAGTTAGTGAATTGTCGCAATGATGTCTTTGCAGCAATTCTAACCCTCACAATATAAGTCATATAACTGTCGCAAAATCGTCATTTTCTTGTAGTAAGTAGTCTACCTGATGAATCACGAACCGCCCCTCCACAAGCTCCAATTCCATCATTTGACACGACTCCATCCCCATTCAATTTAATGTGACCTGTAGGCGGAATCCTACAATGAGCATCTTGGCGACCACATAGAGGATCATGCAACATTGTAGAATCAATAATTTTCATCCTATAATATATGATATAAGCAATAGTACACGTAGAATAACTAAAATTCAAAGATGTCTCCGAAAAACACTTAACCTCCTTCAAACCAATGTTGATGACCCTATGCTCCAAGTCCAAAATCCCCACTTTTGACTTATTGAAATATGAAACAGCAGAAATGGATGAAATTGGAGTCACAACCAAGTCATCCGTCACCATGTACATAGCTGCTCCTTTGGCAAATCCACAAGAACTCGATTTTCCATCAGAGGACTTAGGATTAACAACATCTAACGGCGCATTCATTTCCCCATTTTGAAGAATGGGCTTTGGGAAAGTAACAAGAGCACGATTTTGTCTCTTATCTTTTTCATAGGAATTGCAATAATACACAGGCAAGGAATTGGTAATATCTGGTCGTTAAGGTTGAATTGTGGCGTACACGGAGGATTCACTAGTTGTTTTTTGAGCCCTTGTGACCTTAAATATCTTTCTGAACACAATTCTGCAACGCTCTTATATAATTTATCTAAGCAACTCAAAGATGTGAAACCCTTAAGAATGTGCAAAACCCCTCCCAAAGGTAAGGTCAGAAAACTTAAAAGAAAGTCAGTAAAATCTTCCTTTGCTTCAGCAAACAGAATCTTGCTATATGATTTTCTTACCAACACTTTTACAACCATCTTCCTACTCTCATTTAAAGCCACTTCTCCAATCTCAAACTGAGATTGATCTTTTTTGTTAAAATAAAGAAATTGTTTCTTGGTTATTAAGTCAGTTAAAGGGGTTTTTGAAAGCAATGAAAACTTTAGCAAATCAAGTACCTGCACAAACAAAGTCGAACAAATGAATGAGTGCGTGAAAAGAACTAGTCAATAGGAAAGATGACATTGAGACACAAACTGAAAATAAATAAATAAAATACCTCCTAAGCGCTGATTTCTACATTCTTTTCCTCAATAGACTCCATGTCTTTGACTCTAATCTTCTAAGAATTAGGAATCACCCGAAGGTATTCACAAATTAAAAAAGAAGCAGTTTCCTTCACAAAACTATTTTCCAAACTCACTTTTTCTGGCAAAATCTCTCTGTTCATTTGTTTTCC